GGGACTTATTTCTTTTAGCTTGTCAGGGAAATCCTTTTCATTTCACTGCCTGTCACACAAAGGATTGAAGTAAAATATTCACAGTAAATAGTGCAAAGTCAAGTAATACACAGTGAGAGCATTTGTAGGTTATTTGGCATTCACTTGTGGTTCTCAGGAAAAGGCATCTAATTGAGCAAATTACGTAAGAGCTGAAGGAAAGTTGTCACTATTTTCTGTGAGAACTCTCTTATCCCTTGTTTTTAAAAACAAATAATTAGACAACCGATCTTAAACCAAAATATACTAATGCAAAGTATCCTAAGTTGCCTTGTATTAGTAAACACTAACACTGTTGTTGTCATTCTTCTGTATTTTAACCCGTGGAAAATTATGTGTGTGCGTGCGAACTGTCTTCTATTTGCTAAATAAAAATTCAGAATCTGAAGTGTGAAGAGTGATTTTTAACCAAAATTGTAGGATACTTGAAACTAGATTATGCACTTTCTGAGACTGTTGTACTGCTACCAAGTTGGAGGTAGAAAGCTGAAGTGAGATAGCAAATTAATAATTTTGTTTTGAAATATATTTTTAAAACTTTATTTTGATTCATTTTCCTTTTCAGTAACAAATGGAAGAAAGAGGGGGAAAAGGGAGGTGGAGGTGGGTGGGGTGGGGGGTTGAACTTAACCCATGAACAGTTTGGATTGTTTTGTCTTATTCATCTTCTTCTTGATCTTATGACCTCTTGGTGATTTGCCTCCCGTCATACTAGAGCTGAGACAGATTCATTGTCAACTGTGACCTTTTTATTTTGAAAATCGAAGCACTTTGTTAATGACTTGAATTGACATTTTAAATTTCACAAAATAAAAACAATTTCTTGGTGGGGAAAAAAGCTGAGATTTCACAGCCTCCTATTCAGTTCCTGTAACTATCCCAGGGCAATTTTGAAAGAGTTCAGTGAAAAACAAAAAAATCCACAAAATTTAGAGCAGTTTTTAAAAAAAATTATTTATTATTATTATTAAGGATATGTATGAGAGAAAGACAAGAAAATGATGATAATCAATACTTAAGTCTGTGATGATTTCGATTTAAACTATAGTATGACCTGAAAGTTTAATATAAATTGGTGTTTACTGTATGCCCATACTCAAAATCACAGACAGCCAGATGAAATTTAAATCTACCAATTACTCAATTTCAAATTAGTCATCACCAACTGCCCCATATGCCTCCACATATGTCAATAGTTAGTTACCATGGTGAGAGCATTTTGTGTAACAGGCTGCAACCAACTGTTGACTTTTGCAAAATGGGCTTGGCATTCCTCTTGCACAATGCCTCATAAAAATCAAACCTGTAATTCATATCAAAGCGTTTTAAAATCCATGAGGTTCCCAAGAAGTTGCTTTGCAGATTCATGTTTTTGTGTTTCATGGAACCAAGATGAAAAAGAAAGTAGTCAAGAACCAGTTAAACGTTGGTTCCTCTGGTACTATGGTAAATATTTGCAATTATTTTTGTAAAAGCTTTAGATTTAGAGTACAAAGTGGTCAGCATCTCATTTCTAGGGAATCTAGTATTGGAAATTTATCTGATCAAGATCTGAGTCTTGCTACCTGTATGTACCCAGGGTTGAGTGTAAACTTTGAGTGTCTTTTGAGAGCTGGTTCTTATTTCTTGGTGACAATACTGAGTCAGCATTTTTTCCAGATAAGGGTGGCCTAAGTAAATGTTTCATTAAAGGCTGGGGTTATGCCAGACCCAGTGTTGTTTACATAAAAGTGAATGTTTCTGATTTCACAAAAATAGCATTTAAATATAAATAGTGAAGTGAAAAACAAAAAAAGAAAAGAGGACTAGTAATAGATCTTGTGGTACACCTCATGGGAATTTTAATGAAAAACATCTTCAAGTGTACCTTGAAAATAGTTAAAAATCCGCGTTGTATGGTAGGTTATATGATATTCTTGTTTAATGTAAACAGGAGGAAATAGCATTCAACAGAGGATGAGATCAGGGAGCAGTTGAGGTAGCTAGAATATTTCAGAACAGACAGTGTTGGAGTTGGACTCGGATGTGGAAGTAACAGATTGCTGTGACGCAGAAAGCAAAAGTTTCCATGGCAGAGCGAGTGATGAGGAATACTGGACACTGTTGCAAATTCATCACTGAGGCACAGAAAGAGTTGAACTGAGCGTCAGTAGGACAGGGAGTATTTTGAGCTGCTTACACACACAGAAAGTAGCAGGTTGCTGCAAATAGCTGAGCAGAATTTTCCTTCCCAACAGAAACCTCCCAGCTGTGGAGGATGAGGAAAGTTTGACTGGGTACAAAGTTACCACAAGAGAAGCTGGAGATTGTTAGGTTTTGGAGGACAAATTAAAGGACTTATTATTTTTAAAAGGATTTAACTTTTTGGTGGAAGTGTTAATGCATATCATTTTATAATAATACGAAAAACCCCAATTTATCACATAAGTACAGCTAACAGGAGCAATAGTATATGGAAACTACACTCTTTTGCTCAAAAGTTAAAAAGTGGAAATAATAACCTCCTCTGGAACGAACAGTGACCTCACTGAAGCGAGGTTTGTTAGTGCGTCATTAGAAGATGGACCAGAGGAAATAACAAGTTGCTATTAGCTTTCCTTTTCTTTTTTTTCCTGAAAGAAGCTGTTTGAAAAAACGTAAATGGAAGAGAAGGTGGCATTGCTTGTGTCAACTTTTTTTTTTTCCCAGAGACGAGAGAAGAAATTTTGATCATTGTAACTCAAATTCTGAATTATGCATTGCCTAGTTACATTAATTCACAGAGCAGAAAACTGATATACATTTCAAGTGGTCCAGAGTCACGGCCGAACCAAAGTAATAAATATTAGACTTCCAACAGATTGAGGGACATGAAAGAGAACATTGTTAAAAACATGGAACTCAAAATTGAAGCCAACAAGAAGCGGCAGAAATGGCAGTTCCTCTAATGGCCTTTTGAATGTTTAGCTCCAAAAGAAACTTAGGAATTTGAGGGTTATGTACAGTACCTATCTGAAATACTATGACTTGAAGTCTGTCCAAGAGGCCTGTATTTCTGTTTTAGGGATTGAAATGACAGTGTTTATTAATCTAGTAGCAATCCCTAATTAGCAGCTAACATGTACATGGATTTAAATTGCTCAGTTCAGAAACCGTGGCTGAGGTCACAGTGGGTGTGTCCACCATTTATATCCAGTTTATAGTCCCTAAAAGCTCCAAAAACACTGGAACCTACATTTCCTACAATTCACCTGATCCAATCTTTTGTCAGATTTACCTGGTTTGCTTTACACAGATGCTTTTAGACTCAGTAAATCTAGGTTTCATTGCATTTTTCCCAGATGCAGAAAACACAACTGTTTTCATTAAGTGAAGTCATTTGAAATGATAACACATTTCTTTATGTGTAAATTTAGGTGCTCACCACATTCAAAGCACTTTTCACAGCAGGTACTTTATAATATACATTACCTTAATAATAATGGGTATGTTTGGTAAAAAGCCCATTTCTGAATTAGAAAGTAGGTAATTATTGCTGCCAGCAGGGGGCAGTGTTGTATTGGCTGCTATAAAGCTCATAATATACCACAGTGCAATGACCTTACTTTTTATTTTTCAGTGGCATTCTAATGATGTTATTAGAGTGGTATGTTAATGTGCTTATGAAACACTTTTTTCCAGAAACAGAACAGCTACATAAACACTTCTGCTGCCTGCTGTTTTATAGTAGTGCTCACATGCAGACAAATCATTATGTAGTGACACAATTAAATCAGGCCAACCAATCAGGGCTCTGATCTTTCCTTAAATTAGATCATCTGTGTATGATCCATGTTAGTTCACTTGAATCAAAGTTCAGACTGTCCCCTAAAGAAACTACAATTTCGAGCCCTTCAGTAGCCATGCAGTGCATTGAGTGTCCTTGAGATGGACAAAGTGTCCCCTCCTGATGTAGGGTGCAAATCTACTAATAAATACTATTATCCGATGGAGCAATGGAGCAGTAGCTTATTTATCTTTTCAGCTGAAATCTTGTTAGCAGCAGACTTGTTCCCATCATAAATCAATCGTATTTTTATCCACTTATTTTAACCTCCTTTTGTCCTGTCCGTTGTTATGGCTCATGCTACCTCTTGTCCATTCTA